CTTGGGGAACCTTAAATATCCGCCATTAGTTTCATACGCCCAAATCACAAATTGCATAAAAAATGGAACCTTTATCGCAAACATTCGTATGTTAGACCGACGTTCATTGGACTAGTGGGAGATCCTTTCGGGGTTTCTCCGCGCTTTTGAAAATTCATTCCGCCGCTCCTACAGGAGATTAAGGAATGAAACCGCCGTCATTTATTGAGAATTTAATTCTCTATTGATCGGCATCGGTTTCATTCCTTCATCTTCATTAGGGGGGCAGAAATGAATTTTCTAATCGGGAAAGCCCCTCCGGGCTCACTCGACGTCGGTAAGCCGTTCGGGGTTTCTCCGCGCTTTTGAAAATTCATTCCTCCGTTCCTATCTGAGATTAAGAAATGACACCGATGTCATTTATTAAAAATATAATTCTCAATCGGTAAGCTTTGGTTTCATTACTTCATCTCAATTAGGGAGGGGAGAAATTAATTTTTGAATGAGAAGAACTTGTTCGGAGTTACTGCGCGCTTTGAAAATTCATTCCTCCTCTCCTAATAGAGATTAAGAAATGAAACCACTGTCATTTATTGAGAATATTATTCTCGATCGATAGATGTTGCTTCCGTTCCCTCTCCGCAATTGGGGGGGGGGGAGAAATGAATCTTCCAATCAGGGGAACCCCTCCGGACTCACTCGACGCCGGAGAGCCATTCGGGATTTCTCCGCGCATTCGAAAATTCATTCCTCCGCTCCTACTTGAGATTAAGGAATGAAACCGTTGTCATATATTGAGAATTTAATTCTCGATCGATCGGCTTCAATCCTTCATCTCAATTAGGGTGGGAGAAATGAATTTTTGAAATCGGGGGAGTCCCTCCGAGCTCACTCGACGTCGGAGAGCCGTTCGGGGTTTCTCCGCGCTTTTGAAAATTCATTCCTCCGCTCCTAACGGAGGTTAGGAAATGAAACCGATGTCATTTATTAAAAATACCATGGTCGATCGGTAGGCTTTAGTTTCATTTCTACGTCTCAATTAGGGAGGGGAGAAATTAATTTTTGAATGAGAAGAACTTGTCCGGAGTTACTGCACGATTTTAAAATTCATTCCTCCTCTCCTAATAGAAATTAAGCAATGAAACCGCTGTCATTTATTTAGAACATAATTCTCCATCGATCGATATTGCTTTCATTCTTTCATCGTAATTAGGGGGGGAGAAATGACTTTTCCAATTGGGGGAGGCCCTCCGAAGAGCC